AATGTCACAAACATCCTCCCTCATTTCCACATGAATCTAAATAATTCCTATTTATTCTTTAAGATACAGCTGGAGTTGTTGTCTCTTCCATGACACTTTACATAAAAATCTAGCTGCCCACAATAGATGTTAGTAGTTCCTTAATATGTTGTGTATAGCTCTAAGCAGGGATGAATACTAGAAAAATAAGTAGGATACAAAGGTAAATGTTAAAAAAGGTTATATTTATTAAAATAAAGGGTATATTTTAATAGAGATATTAATAAACGGTAACATGATATCCATCCTAAACATGTTTGTTTAAATGAGTGCATTTTAAAAGGCACAATGAACCAAATATTATTTCATACTAGTTAGCATAACCTGGCCAGAAGACTTGCTTTGATTTCTATTGTTAATTAATATTGTCTCTTGAAGTAATATAAAAAAAGCTTAGCAAACATTATTTAAGTCGCTATTCTTCTGTTCCAAAAGAGGTAGTCCTCATAATTTTTCATGTTATACACTACGGTAGACCAGTGAAAGTCCAGCTTCTTCTAATGGAGTGGGCATAACTGGAGATGTCATGTTGAATTTACTGCATTCATCCCATTCATTTAGAAAGTTCCAGGTATCATATAGCCAAACTATGGCCCAATTGAAGCTATGAACACATATTTTATTCCTAGGAAACAATTTCCAGTTGCAAGTATATGCTACCTTGAAACCGAGGCTAGAGAACTGAATACTTAGATACTGATGCTACTTTTTTTTCCCACAGCTCTCAATGAAAAAGTTACTTTTTATTGTCCACTTTTAAGTGGTCAATTATTTTGACTCAAGTAAGAAAGAATATGGATAATCTAGTCCAAAAACCATTCTACAAGAGAAAGAAAGTAATCCAGGTTTGAACCTTGTTAAATACGTAAAAGAAGAACAATGTAGCAACAGCATTGAGGATATTTCTGAGAATGGATTCAACTTCTGGATACGTAAGTAGATAAAGAAAGATGGAGGCTAACAGCAACAAAATAAAGGGGTCAAGAGAGTAGTATTCTCTACTGAGACAGAAGAACAAGTGAAGTAGAAATAACTTAATGAAACAATAAGAAAAAAAGTGTGCAATCATGGAGTCCAAGAGCGTAGTATTCAAATTAAGATTTCAGAGCTAGAACAATTTCTACTGATAATAAAATGTAAAGTATGGTCATGAGAGTGACTGACCAAAGTAGAATTGGAGATAAAGCTCACTATATTAGAGAAAGTTAAGGAAGTGAGTGGGTGCTAAATACATTATTGAGGTAAATGCTGACATTACTCTCGTTTGATGGCAGGAATTGTGATGTTGAGGAAGACTAAAGCCAGGTTCTAAAATAATCCGTGAATAAAATGATATTACTAAGAGGTCAACAAACAACAGCAACAAGGAAGGGTAGTGGGTGGTTGTATTTACTTGCATTACACACAAAGGTACAAGATATAAAAATAACACGCACAAAACATTACAGAAATAAATACAGGAGAATGGATAGATTACTAGGTCAGCATTCACATGTTCAACACATGTCCAAAAAAGATCAGTCCAAGAATCTCAAAGTGGATTGGAATGGAGGTCAGAAGGATGAGAAACTTAGAAAGTTAGTAGAGTAAATAACAAATGATCAAAGTCCCTTTAAAAAAAGTAAAAAAAGAGGAAGTTACACTGCAAACTCAACATAGTATTTATTACTTCCGTGAAAGAGGCACAGGGGATATAATAGGCAAGGAGAGTGCAGGGAAAAGTGAGATACATAATTAGATGTTCTGGTTCTTGGTTTGGGTAGTAGATTCAAGGATGTCATGTTATTACATTGTGTTGTAACTAATACACATTCATTTGTATGTAGTAAAATTAGGAGAAAGCTAATATTTAAAAAAATTATGGATACATAATAGTTATACATATTTATGGGGTACTGTTACATTTTGATACAAACATACAATATGTAATGATCAAATCTGGGTAATTGGGATATATATCACTTCAAACATTTACATTTTATTGTGTTGGGAACGTTTCAAATCTTCTCTTCCAGATATTTTAAAATATACAGCAAGTTATTGTTAATTATAGTTGCCTGACTGTGCTATTGAACACTAGATTTTACTCCTTCTATCTAGCAAAGATTTCTTGAGTAAGACCTCAAAAACACAGGCAACCAAAGCAAAAATTGACAAATGAGATTCTATCACGGTAAAAAGCTTCTGTACAGCTTAGAAAACAATAAACAAAGTGAAGTGACACCTACAGAATGGAAGAAAATATTTGCAAGCTATTCACCCAACAAGGGATTAATAACCAGAATATATAAGGAACTCAATAGCACAAAATAACAATAATAATCTGATTTTTTAAATGGATAAAATACTTGAATAGACATTTCTCAAAAGAAGACATACAACGGCCAACAGGTATATAAAAAAATGCTCAACATCACTAATTATCAGAGAAATGCAAATCAAAACCACAATGAGACATCATTTCACCCAGGTTAAAATGCCTATTATAAAAAAAATCTGAAAATAACAAGTGCTGGAGAGGAATGCTCGTACACTGCTGGTGGAAATATAAATTAATACAACCAGTATAGAAAACAGTATGGAGGTTCTTAAAAATCTAAACATGGAACTACCATATGATCTAGCAATCCCTTTGCTGGGTATATATCCATGAGAAAGGAAATCAGTATATTGAAGAGATACCTGCACGCCCATGTTCACTACAGCACTATTTAAAATAGCCAAGATATGGAATCAACCTAAGTGTCCATCAACAAATGAATGCATAAAGAAAATGTGATATATATACACACAATGTAGTATCAGCTAAAAAAGAAAGAATAAAATCATGTATGAAATGGATGATTAGCAAGATGAATGAAAATGGAGGACATTATATTGAATGAAATAAGCTAGGCACAGAAAGACAAATATTGCATGTTTTCACTCATATGTGGGAGCTAAAAAATTGATCTCAGGGAGGCAGTGAATAGAATGGTAGTTACCAAAGACTGGGAAGGATAGTAGAGAGAAGGAGATGAAGAGCGGTTGGTTAATGGGTACAAAATATTTTAAAAAAAAACTAAGGAACTTCATTCTTACGAGTTCTACCCATATTGTCTAGGTCACTAGACTTAGACCCTCAAGAATTTCTGTTGTCCTAGGGCAAGGCAAATACCTTAATACATATAAAATAAATATTACATATACATGTAAATATACATAGTAAATCCTACATTAGATATTTGATAACTTGCTTGTGGAAACAGATTTTTCCATGTTACATTTCAATATAAACATTAATGATCTCTTTTTCCTCAGCACAAACCAAACTGTGGCACCAAAAGACAATTCATAAATGTCTTCTTCAAAACGGGCCAATTAGGCTGAAGTTGAGAATCTGGGGAAAAGTGCAAAATTGAGATGACCAAGAACTAATTCTAGCTACATTGGTGAATGGAGAAACTAAGTAACATAAAGCAAACAACTTATTTGTTGATAACTAGGAAAAAACAAACTATTGAAAAAGTGATGTGATATGATTTTAACTTAGAATGAAATGAAGAGACACCAGAGTATATACAGTAAGTCTATAATCAGTAATGTCTCATTCATGTGTATCACCCACCTTTAAAAAGGCTTTAGTCAATTATCAAAATACAGTTACATAACTACTTTTCCATATTTTTGTAAAGTAAATGTATAATTACTGAAAGTAAAAAATAATGGGAATGTAATATATAGCAACAGTAAAAACAAAAAACAACAAAAGATAATTAGGATTGAAGCAGAATAACAAAAAAGTAAAAAATTGCAAAAGAAAATTAAATATAGCAATAACCATTATCATATAATAAACTGGAAGGCACTAAATTTCAATTATATTTGCTGAAAGATATTACAAAAGTTATTAGTAAATTGCAGTTGCTATTATCTCTTATGTTTCCTTTCACCTTTACCCATATAAATAAAATACTTATAAATTTACTCATTAGTTTTTAATAATTTTTATAAACTCTTTTATTATCGACTCTTAGTTAATTTCCTAGGGATGAAGGAAGTCACACATAACTCTGAATCACTTAGAAACAATAGTCAAGGTGACCAACCATGGCACATAATTCCTAATTTATACTAGCTAAGCCTTCCACCACATTATTTCTTTACCTAAATGATCTCAAATGTTGTCACTGGCTCAAATCTCTAAATCTTCATACAGCCTTGAGAACTTTTCAAATTTTAGAGATCTTCTCTCCCTTTTCTTTCTAATTAACCTCTCTTTCTAGTTAATCCCTCTTGCTGTTACATGCCAGGAAACTGAGATTTCCCTCCAATGTAAATTATATTTCCTTAAGGCATTGTAGCTGTACTATCTATGATTCACTGCAAATTCCCACTTTGGAAAGAGAAATGGTGGTAGGGTAGAAATGAACAAGTGTTTTCTCACAGACTCAGTATTCTCTGCAGATATGGATTACCTACTATGACAAAGGAGTAGATTACAGCCACCTCCGACAAGGTAACCACAAACAAATCAGTTCAACCTAAGCACTTCAAGGACAGATTCCTCTACTCTGGAGTAGTGAGGTGGAAAAGTGAGTTTTCAAGACCTATGCCATCTAAATACCTAATTATGGACTCTGCTGAGGAAGGTGAGTAGTCAATTGGAGTTAACTTAAAGAGAATACTGTTACTCTATCTTTATGGATAATAGAGAGTTAACTGTAATTCCTGGCGAACTAAATTTTTAGAATCACCAAAGAGATGACCCTAATTTACAAAAGGGACACTGTATTTTTGATGTCCTACTACAATTAGTTAATATGTTTTATTTCATGTTATTTTATATGGGTGATATTTCTGTATTTCATTAACAACCATATATGTATATACATAAAAACAGAAATAAAAGTGACCTATATCATATCAATACACAGGCACAAGCAATTGCACAAACAGACTCAATTGTAAGAAAAATATACCTGTCATCCCTGTGATGATGGTCAATGGTCTGACTGTATCTGGAGCGAGGTAGAGTAAGAAAATGACTGCAAGCATGGCAGAAACAAGAATATAAATAAGACTCAAGAAAGAAGTGAAAAAAGTATAGTTTAATTTAAAAAGTGAGATTTAAAAAGATAGGCAGATAGTAAGCAAAGCAAATGGAAACTGTTATTGGAAAGCTTGCCCCTTCCTCCCAGTGTTCATTGTAATATGACAGTGCCAAAGGTTAAAATATTCTAAATATTTTAAAATAAAATGCAACAAAAATATAACATTATCAATTATTACTTAAACATCTTTAGCACCATCTAGAATATGTTATATGATAGAGATGCTTTACCATTTTTTTAGAAGGAAAGATGAGATGAGAAAAATAAAATAAGCAGAAAGTTTAAGAAGGAAATAATAAATGAAGTAATTTCAAATACTTATCAACGTTGGGAAATGTATAAGGTAACTATTTCTCTTTTAATTATTGATAATTAAAAATAACTACAAAGGGCTTTAACAATTCCATTTAATTAAGAGCAAACTGATCCAGATTACTTTTATTATTAATTGTATTTATTAAATTTATTGGATGCCATTCATTTTTCCATTCACTATGTTTATTATGTATTATGTATTACATGCTATTGGCTTTGCTACCTTTCTTGCCTCATAACTACCATAAGCAATTCAAGCAGCACACTGATCTTTTACCTATCTCTTCTTTCCAAAGCACTAATTTAAAATTTCCTACTTTCTTAGAACCTTTAATACTAAAACAATTAATCTTAGGAGTTTATCATTATATTTCCATAAACAATGGAAATGAACCTTGAACTCTCTCAACTTCCACAATTCTATCTCTAAAGTAAACATACATTTAAATCTTCACTTGTCCTTGTCTTCTGCACCTAAAGAGATACCTCTACTTGTAATCCTGCTTCCCATATGACCTTGCTTCATTTATTATTCTCTTCTGCCTTCCCTTCCTCAACTGCACTTAACCCTAAAAGTAAAACCCCTGCTAACCTTTCCTTCCGTTCAAGCCACTGCATCTCGCTCATTTTCTTTTCAATATAGAACATCGTAAAATACATACCTACAATTCTTGCCACCTCTGCCAGATTTTGCTTTCACGCTTTAAGCTTACTGTAATTTGACTTCTGCTTCTACCACACTCTCAAAGCTACCTTATGAATGTGAAATCCCCCCAAAATTCTTTCTTCTCCTCTTAATCCTCATCATAGTCCACTTACCTTTGGTATTAGACATTGATTTTCAAACCTCTATTTTTTAATACTCTCTCCTTTTTTGGTTTCTAAAACCTCTTTGGCTATTAAACATAGTATTTATTTAACAATGAACTATATGCCAAGTACACCATTAAAAGCTTTGCCTACATTATCTCATTTACTTCTCATAACAACTCTTTGAGGTAGGTTCTACTATTCCCACTTTTGCACAGACAGATAAACTGAGGCTGTGAGTGCTTGTTCGGAGCTATATAGTAAGTGGCAGGACTGGGTTTCAAAGTCAGGGCTTTCTTAATTCAAAACTCAGGCTCTTAACACATTTGTACATATAGCCTGGTCTCTCACCTATATGACTGGTTCTTCATGCATTTAATGTACTGGATTTCCTTTCTCTGTAGAGAGGCAGTGGTTTTCCAAGATTCATTTCCTGATCTTATATTCCAACACATTCTTTCTAAGTAATGCAATTTTTTTTATGGTGTAAACAGTAACTCTGCTTTATTACTGATTATTCTTTGGGTGGCACAACACTTTTCTATCTGCTTCTGGGCTCTCCACATAATGCTTGAGTGACAGATAGACACTTCAGGAAAACACATGTTCATTGTGAGACTGGAACAATACCCTTTGCCTATTTGGACATTGGTGCCAATTTGTGAAATGAGGAGGTTCAAGCAGTGGTTTTCAAACTCTTTTTTTTTTTTTTTTAGCAGATCACTTTTTTCCAAACAAAATTTGATATAGAATCAATATACAGTAATCAAATAATATCAGAATGATGCTGGCTAAAGAGAGTAAGAAGCCTAGATCCTTATCCATTTAGCTTCATTTTTACCTGTCATAGTAGTCTCTCAGGTACCGCTACAAAACATAGGACTCCATCATCTCTGAAGTCCCTTCTAATTTCTAACATGATTCTTTAATCTCCCTTTGGAACTTAATATAATACTTCAGCTATTCCTCTTTTTGTAATCTCTTGCAATTCGAACTTCAACTAAGGATTAAAATATTTATTTAAGGCCGGGCGTGGTGGCTCAAGCCTGTAATCCCAGCACTTTGGGAGGCCGAGACAGGCGGATCACGAGGTCAGGAGATCCAGACCATCCTGGCTAACACGGTGAAACCCCGTCTCTACTAAAAAAAATACAAAAACTAGCCGGGTGAGGTGGTGGGCACCTGTAGTCCCAGCTACTCGGGAGGCTGAGGCAGGAGAATGGCGTGAACCCGGGGAGGCAGAGCTTGCAGTGAGCTGAGATCCGGCCACTGCACTCCAGCCTGGGCGACAGAGCGAGACTCCGTCTCAAAAAAAAAAAAAAAAAAAAAAAATTTATTTAATAAGCCAAGTTTTACAGTCTCAGAATTTAACTCCTCCATTTCCTCATTTTTCACATTCAATTGATTTACAAACCTTGCTTGTTCTGATGCCTGAATAACTCAGATTTCTCTCCTTTACCTTTTGTCTTGCCACCACCTTAAATCAGGTTTACTATGCCTATTGAAACAACCCTCTCTTAGGTCTTCCTACCTTCAGACCCCAGTCTTCCTTTGACTCAATCCAATCTTCATCCTGTCTACAGAAGTTTATTTGCATATTATGCTTTCTGATCATATCGGTACCTCACTGAAAATCCTTCACTGGTTCCTGATATCAAAAAACAAGTATAAATTCCCTAAAAGTTCTAAACTACTTTCAATCTTCATCTTCTACCCCTTTCCATTCCCCATACTACTACCTCTTATCTAGGTACAACAGACTACCTAAGATTCTCTAAATTATCATGTGTTTTCCTCACTCAAGACTTTGTTCATGTTCATCATTCTGTCAAGAATGCCCACCATTCTCCATCTCCACTGCTTCACTTTTCACAGTCTTATTCAACTTTTGAAGTCCAGCTTCTCTGTAATGCCTTTTCCAGTTCACCTGATCAAGTAATTTTCTCTCCAATCTGTTCCAATATTATTATCCTTCTGCCACACAGTCTTCAACATTTTAAAATTAGTTGATATATGATAATTTGTCCAGCTAGACCAGGATAATGTCTGTTTTAAATCTTTGTGCACAATGGCTGACCCACTCAAGTATATTTTGGATTGCACTTAAAAGTAAAAATCCAAATTATACTGTTCTCATGATGAACCTTCTCTCAAAAAACAGCAGTGGTTCATATGTGGTTCATATAATTATAGAAACATTCTAGTCATAGATTCTAAGGCTCATGATAAAAAATTACTATTCAAAGTATTAAACTAGATTACTAACCCAATTTCTGGAAGATTATGAGCCTATGTAAGAAAATATTTAAAAAAGTATTCATAGCTTTATGAAGAAGAGAAATAATATCCAACAGTTGTGATATTGGGCTTTACTGCTTTAAAAGGAATAGGTTTTCTCCAAAATTACTTAAGAATAACAGAAAATATGTAAACTTCAAAGCTTGTTAAAATTTATAAATTTATAAAATATATATATATAATCATCCAATTTCTAATAGTTTCCTTGAAGAGTCTAATAATTAACTTTGTCCCTATAAAGCCAAAGCAGCCATTAAGCAAGAATCACCTTTATCAAGCATCAGTTTATTTTATTCTTCTTTTCTGTCTCTAGTCATGTTAGTTCTTAACCTTATCTGGTCATGACCGTCTTTGAGGTTCTGTTGAAAACTATAAAAACTCATGCATGAACATACAAAATTTACCCTTGTGTTTTAGTAAGCCCTCTAAAATCTACCTAAGGTCCATAGCCATACTCAAAGTCCTTTGCTGCATCCACTTGGTACAACCTTAAAACATATTACACTTCTCCACTGAACCATGTTTACTTTTTTTCCAAAATTAATGGACATTATAAAATTTGAGCAATAAGTATGCTTAGTGCCTTAAATATGCATAATGACTTAAACAAATAAAGTAAGTTATATTACAACTGCAGTTAGTCCAAGCTGAGCAGTAAATCACTGTAAAAGAAAAAAACAGAAAAACAATACATTTGCTAACTTTTAAAAAGCAAAAACAAAATAAAGAAGTCATAGATTCTAAGGCTCATGATAAAAAATTACTATTTCGAGTATTAAACTAGATTACTAATCCAATTTCTAGACACTTGGATTCTTAAGCAATAGAATCTTTAAAGACAACACAAGGCCGGGCGCGGTGGCTCACGCCTGTAACCCCAGCACTTTAGGAGGCCAAGGCGGGTGAATTACGAGGTCAGGAGATCGAGACCATTCTGGCTAACATGGTGAAACCCCGTCTCCACTAAAGAATACAAAAAATTAGCCGGGCGTAGTGGCGAGCGCCTATAGTCCCAGCTACTTGGGAGGCTGAGGCAGGAGAATGGCATGAACCCAGGAGGCGGAGGTTGCAGTGAGCCGAGATTGCGCCGCTGCACTCCAGCCTGGGGGACAGAGCAAGACTCCGTCTCAAAAAAAAAAAAAAAAAAAAAAAAGACAACACAAAATTCTATTTATAATGAATTGTTCTTCTACTATATTAAATTAGCCGAATGTCCCCTTTAGGAATCACTTTAGTCCATACAAAAAAGAACTGCAAAAATGGGTGATAAAATATTCCATTCTTAAATAAAACTATAGTTTCCAACAACCCTTACTTAATGCAAAAACTTTTTAAATTTTCATTTATTTATTTATTTATTTATTTATTTATTTATTTAGAGATAGGGTCGTGCTCTGTCACCCTGGCTGCAGTACAGTGGTGCGATCTCAGCTCTCTGCAGCCTTGACTTCCCTGGGCTAATGTAATCCTCCCACCTCAGAGTAGCTGAGATTAAAAAAAAGGTGCACACCACCACATCTGGGATAATTTTACTTTATTTTATTATTTATTTTTGTGTGTGTGTGGAGATAGGGTCTCACTATATGGCCTAGACTGGTTGAGAACTCCTGGGCTCAAGTGATGTGCCTGCCTCAACCTCCCAAAATTCTGGCATTACAGGAATAAGCCACTGTGCTTGGCATGTGTCTTTAATATTGTTAATGTTTTCCTTATGTTGTAGTCCTTACATTCTGCTCAGTATGATTTAACTATCTTAAAATGTTTCTGAAACACAGCAAATAAAATAAGTAAAATAAAATGTTATATTATTTTTGTAAAGTGAATTTTCTTTTTTCATTTACTTTATAATTTTAAACTACTAGAGATATGTTTCCTTCATAGTTGACAACTGAAAGGAAAAAAGAGACTATTCTTTTTGGTCAAATAGTTATGAGTGTGTGTTATACTTTCTGGTAGGTGACTTCTTGACAAGGAATAGAGAAATAGCATGAGTGTGTAAGGTATGCCAGTGGTCCATATAATGGGGCATTTTGCTTTTTAGAATATATATTTATTAATTGAATGTATAGGAGAAAAAAAGTTTGTAAAGTAATTTATCTTTTGCCAGTATTAATTGTATTCTTATGATACTAAAAGTATACTCTGTGGAAATAAATGCCCCTAATGTATTTTGGCCTCCAGGATAGACATAAAAATGCATACTATGGAGTACTTCTGACATGTTACAGAAATACTAATACTCTATACTTATTCTAATAGTAAACTAACTCAAGTAAACAAAAAGCTCTTAAAATAATTTTTTTTTTTTTTTTTTTTTGAGACAGAGTCTTACTCTGTCACCCAGGTGCGATCTCGCCTCACTGCAACCTCTGCCACTCGGGTTCAAGTGATTCTCCTGCTTCAGCCTCCTGAGTAGCTGGGATTACAGGCACCTGCCACCACGCTCAGCTAATTTTTGTACTGATTTCTAATACTAAGGCCACATAGTCTGCCTCAGGAAAAATTATGTTCCTAGTTGTAGCAGTTACCAGGACCTATTGGAAAAACAATGGTATAAAAAGCGGGGGAATGGAGGTAGAAGATGAAAGATATACTTAATAATTCCTTGTTTTAGCTGAGTCCTTGCATCCAGGTTTCTAAATTACTTGTAAAGCATCTATTTACTTTGCAAAGCAGAATAGGATTTTGACTAATGATACTACAGTGAGATATGCAGAGAAACAAAGACCTAATAAAAATTTTATGTATAAATTATTTTTATATTACCTATAGAAAGGATATAAATACTATATCTTCTCCTTACACCACCCAAGTTTAACCAAGTACTATTAATGAATGTCAAATAGCATCGTTTCTCATTCAATATAGTCCATCCTTGCTCTTGGTCTTGCCTGAATAAACATGCCCATTTTTCAAGGTCCAATTCATGCCCTACATTCATTATATACAAAACTTAAAAAAAAAAAAAAAACTACATGGGCCGAGTGTGGTGGCTCATGCCTGTAATCCCAACACTTTGGGAGACTGAGGCGGGTGGATCACCTGAGGTCAGGAGTTCGAGACCAGGTTGGCCAACATGGCAAAACCCCGTATCTACTAAAAATAAAAAAAAAAAAAAAAAACACCAAAAAACAATAATAATAATAAATTAGCTGGGCATGGTGGCACAGCTACTTGGGAGGCTGAGTCAGGAGAATCGCTTGAACCTGGGAGGCAGATGTTGCAGTGAGCCAAGATAACTCCATTGCACTCCAGCTTGGGTGACCGAGTGAGACACTGTCTCAAAAAACAAACAAATAAACAAAACAACAACAACACTACATGAACTGGCTGATTTCTCTCTCTTTTTTCTTGATTACTAAGCACATTAAATGTAAATTATTTGCAAGTGAATATAGCCTTTTAAAATGCAGGAATTTTCAGTACTTACTATACAATTGGAGGCAGTGTCATTTAATCTACACAACTCAATAAAGTTGATACGAGTCATTTAATCTACACAACTCAGTAAAGTTGATACTGATATTCTAATTTTACAGAAAAGAAAATCAAGTGTCAGAGAGGTTAATTTTCCCAAAGACACAGGTAGCAAGAGGTTAAATCCTGCATTCAAAATCAAGGCCATTTGGTTTCAAATCCTATGAAAAAGATTCAATAAAATAATATTACATTCAACAAAATACATTCTAGTCCAGTGCATCAATTCTTACTGACAAGAAAGGTTATTTATTGTACCTCTCAAAAGACCTAAATTACTATTATTATCTCAAAGGAAATTCTCTTAGGCTTTTAAATCAACATTATTATTGATTAAAATGCTATTCATGAAAATTCACTATAAGAGTTCTAGAGTATTCTTATTTTCTAAAATCATAATGCACCCATATGCATTTTATTACCAAAACTCTTAGAATATTAAGATAACACAGAAATTAAGAACTTGTTGCTTAATAATGTGATAGACTATATATATAATATTGAACTTTTTTATTCCTATTAATAAATGATTACACAGATAATCAAATAATATTAGAAATGGTTTTATATTCCTATTTAAATAAAATTCTATTTTACTTATTTGAAAAAAGGATTTAAGGCAGTTCACAATTAAGATAAATTTTGATCTGGCATCAACAGTGGTCTAAAAGAAAAATAAAAACCACATGGATCAATTTTCTCGAAAACTTCAGAAAACAATTATATGAACATTTTTGCTAAACTAAAAGATTTATAAATTTTTTAAATAAAAAAATGACGTTTCAGTTGTAGACATAAATTGGGATAGATATAAAAATGCACATTGTAGGATCTCTCTGACATGATAATTACCTAATATGACCATATTAACTAATACCAAGGATTAATCATCTAGGCTTTAATAGGAAGTTGTGTTGCCATTAAACCTAGGGTCATTTGCCTTTAAATATTTATAAAGTATTATGCATTTTACATGATAGCAATCATTTTTATTTATAAGTATAATTCCAGATGTTAATTTTATCTTTTTCTGCAAGATTTAGACAGTATTTGCTTGTCTTAAAGAAAATAAAGTCCATTTTTTCATTAAAATAAAACTTCACATAAAATTGAAGAAAGTTTAAATTCATTTCAGAATTTTCTCTCTCATCATTTCCATTAACAAACCTTCAAGGAACAAGAAGTTTATGACTTGGTATATAAATAATTTCCAGAAACAATCAAGCTCATTAAAACGCTATTAGGCAACTAAAATACCTCTTCATTCATCCTAATATGACTCCTTTCAACTCCTAATCATGCCAACATAGTTACTCTTCTTTCTATTACAGTATTGTACTTGATAAGCATCAACTTCTATAGGTAGCATGTCTGTAATTACCCCTAAAGACATAGATTACTAAGAAAAAGTTAAGCAAATTAAAAGAAAATAAAATACATTAACTCATTTATCACTAAAAGCAATATTAATTTAATAACTTCTTATATATAATTTCTTCTTAGATCTCAGGCACAAAAACCAATACTTGTTAGACACTATTAAAGACTATGATATCCCCTCTTTACTTTTGGAGAAGTATACTAAATCACAGTGAAATTATAAGCATGAATTAAGTATAATCTTAATTTAGACAAAAAAATTAAGTGTATAAATGTAAACAGTAATTTCTCGTATCAGCTTATTTAGAAAGCCCCCAAATGTTCTTCCTAAAATCAGTTTAGGATGTATACAAAGGAACTTCTGAGTTCCTTCATTATTTTATCATATCCTTTGGAGAGTTGGGGAAATATAATGGCACTTACTTCACGTATAACCAAAGCATGAATTAGAGTTTATCAATTTGCTTAACTTAAAAATATTAATAGTAGTTAATGTAAGCATTATAACATACCATGTTACTTCCAAGTTTGTCACATTTAATGGAGCAAATTCAGAGAGCTCTTCCAAATACAGCAATCAATCTTTAAGATGCTTAAAAGGTTTACTGAAAGCCATGAGGAAAAACCTCTTCATGAATCATAAAATGTTTCCTAAACAAATCAGACTCTGTCTCAATACTTCTATATGTGAAAAGTCACACCAATTTCTCTGATGAATGTAAAAGACTTTAAAATATTTGTCTCATGAAAGTATTTATATATAATAATTGGTTATGACAAAAATAATGAAACATCTTGGTTTCACTATAATTAACATTATAATCACTTATACAGATTCACTAACTTAACTGGTTTGATTAAACAAAAAACCAAAATGGCAAGAGAAAGATAATTTTGTTTTTTTCTTACCAGAGAAAAGGTTGTGTTTGTTTATTTTTAACAATGTGGCAGTCATAAGAAATAATGTAAGCGTTGTAACAGAAAAACATTGTTTTAGACACTAAGATAAAGGAATATGTGAAAACATTTTATGGTAACCCCTTCCTGAAAGCAGTGATTATATTACTAATAAGGTCTAATAGTATTTAATCATATTTACCTGTCTCTATCTGGAGAATAATGGTCATCCATGACACGATGTCTATCCATTCGGCTAATTGTATTATAATGTCCAGTAGTAGTGCGTGTCCCTCGATGCCCCTGTTCCACATTCCGACTAAAACAACAAGATCTATTAAGTATCTTAGTAAACCATTTGAAACACTAAGAAATGAGGTTTATTTTAAAGCACAGTAGAAAAAGACAAAGTCACTATAAGGTGAAGTCCAAATTTTGTTTTCACTAATTGCATCTCGGTTAGAAGTATAAGTTTCAGTGGAAGGTTGACAGTTAAATAAGATTACTGCTATAACAGATGCAGCATAAGGAGCTCAAATTAAACTAATAACAGTGGGGATATGATAAGGACTATCAAAGTTATTAAAGGATGACTACCAGGTCTCTAGTACTGATATTCAATAATATGCTCAAGAGGATGAGTAGATTTGTATGGAGAAAATATGTTCAGTGTTAGACACATTTGTATACATGACCTATAGGACTGCAGATAGGGATGCCTCATAGGTGGTTGGACATGAGTTCAGAGCTTAGGGGAATAAGTCAAAATTTGCACACTTTGTGCCATCTCCCTTGATACCACTCTAGTCCAAACTACCATAATTGTGAATATGCCATAAAAATAGCTACCTAGGCTGGGTGTGGTGGCTCATGCCTGTAATCCCAGCATTTTGGGAGGCTGAGGTGGGCAGATCACCTGAGGTCGGGAGTTCAAAACCAGTCTGACCAACATGGAGAAATCCCGTCTCTACTAAAAAATAAAAAATGAGCAAGGCGTAGTGGTGCATGCCTGTAATCCCAGCTACTCGGGTGGCTGAGGCAGAAGAATCACTTGAACTTGGGAGGCGGAGGTTGTGGTGAGTGGAGATCCCACCATTGCACTGTAGCCTGGGCAACAAGAGCAAATCTCTGTCTCAAAAAAAAGGGGAAAAAAAAGCTACCTAAGTAATCTCTTGCTTCAACTCTTACCTCATCCCTGATGACATGCAACAGCCCTTTAAAACACAATTAAGACATGGCATGTCATGTTGTAGGATGAAAGACAGGAGTCCAGTTTTTAATTTATTCCACTGGTGAGCTAATTTTCCTATCCTGTCGGACCCACCCTTTCCATATTAATTGTAGTGCCACTTTATCATCATATGTCAAGTTCACATATAAATATCACTGTAAATGCATATATATTATTCTTTTACTATCGATTCCCTTCGATATGTCTATTTTGCTGCTGTTACTCAAGTTCCACCCTAGTTTTAATTATTCTTGCCTGCTGGCAAATTTTTCTCTTCTTTTTTCAAAATGGATTTATTGGTATTTTATTTGCACATAAAATTTTGATTGTTATGGCATTAGATTTATAAACTAATTTATGGAAAATTGATATCTTTATTATAGGAATTAATTCTACCCATGCATAGGGCGTATCTCTCATTGATTGCTTACCCAAAGTTTTACATCTTACTTAAAAAGATCCTGTGAATTCTTAGTACATGAATTGTTAGATGCTTCGGGTTACTTTTGAGAATAGCACTTACATTTTATTATATTTTCCAACTAGTAATTGCTCATTTTATAAGTTGATCTATAGACAGCTATTTGGCAGAACTCCTATATTAGTTTTAATATTTTGATTATATTGGGTTTCCTGTGTAGATAATCCTATCATTAACAAATAATGATGATTTTTCACCTCTTCTCTTCCCTTCCAATCCTGAAATCTCTTAATCTTTTCTTAGCACTTTTCAGGACCAGAAGCACTATTTCAAACAGTGACAATATTAATGAACATCCATCTCTTATTTCTGCTATTAATGTAAATTCCTCTAAAGTTTTTCCATTATAATGCTTGCTTTATTAAGCCTTTATGAAGTGTAGGTGGTTTTCTTCTAGTTTACTATCTTATGTGAATAGAAGTTGAACAATAAAATTCTTTTTCTGCCTCTGGTAAGATTTATTTCCCCATTAGTCCATTAATAAGATGAATTACCATAACAATTTTTCTGGTGTCTCACTGCCATGATTTAAACTCATGGTTAGATTTACTTAAAGTAAGATTTTTTTACATATGTTTGTAACTAAAATGGGCTTCTTAAGCTAGGCACAGAGGCACATAGTCCCAGCATCTGAGCCTAGAGGACTGCTTGAGCCCAGGAGTTCAAGTCTAGCCTGGGCAACATAGTGAGACTCTGTCCTTGAAAAAAAAATGAAAATGGAATACATATATATTTTATTATACTTTAAGAATTAGAACTAAGGTTATGTTAGTTCCAGAAAAAGAATTAGACAACTTCCCTTCTTTATCTGTTTCTAGAGCCAGTTGTATAGAACAGATATTAGTTCTCAAATACTTGGTTAAAACCTACCCATAATAACTTTTTAGTCTGGAATTCTCTTTACGGATGGATGGGGGGAAGACAGTAGTTTGTCTTTGGGTACTGTTTCAACCTATTTGCTGGTTGTTATTTTTTATTATTATTTAATTGGTTTTTTTTTGAGACTGAGTTTCACTCTTCTTCCCCAGGTTGGAGTACAATGGCAGAATCTCAGCTCTCTGCAACCTCCACCTCCCGGGTGCAAGCAATTCTCCTGTATCGGCCTCCCAGGTAGCTGGGATTACAGGCACCTGTCACCACGCCTGGCTAATTGCTTTGTATTTTTAGTAGAGATGGGGTTTCACTATGTTGGCCAGACTGGTCATGAACATTTGTTGTTATTTTATTTAACTTTCATTTCTTCTTGTGTCAATTTTAATATATCTATTTCAGAAATTTAACCATTTTGCCTAGATTAACATAATTAATAACATAATTTCATAATGATTATTATTTTTAAAGTCTTTTTCTTATCTGTAGTTGTTTCCCTTTTTCAACGTTTTATTTATTTATACCGCTCATTTTTCATGTACAGTCCTTTTATTGTATTGATGTCACCAATCTTTTCAAATAACTAACTTTTGGGTTAACAAACATTCTTATCTTCACTTCTTTTTCTTACTGTCTGTGCCTCATTTTGTCTCAGTTTCACTGATTTTTCCCTAATCTTTATTAATTCCCTCCTTCATATTTCTTCAGGACTTTCTCCATTGTTCTGTACTGTTTCCTAAATTCAGTGTTTATTTAGTTCTCTATTTTCATTAAAATTTTTTTGTCAAGTAAACATTGCACATATTTATGGTATACATGATGTTTTGATATGATAAGCAAACACTGCACATATTTATGGTATACATGATGTCTTCATATGACAAGTAAACATTACACATATTTATGGTATACATGATGTTTTCATATGACAAGTAAACATTGCACATATTTATGGTATACATGATGTTTTTATATAACAAGTAAACATTGCACATATTTATGGTATACATGATGTTTTTATATAACAAGTAAACATTGCACATATTTATGGTATACATGATGTTTTCATATGACAAGTAAACATTGCACATATTTATGGTATACATGATGTTTTGATATGACAAGTAAACATTGCACATATTTATGGTATACATGATGTTTTGATATGACAAACATTGCACATATTTATGGTATACATGATGTTTTGATATGTGTATACATTGCAGAATGGCTAAATCAAACTATTTAACATTTGCACTACCTCAAATATTTATTCTTTTGTGTGAGAACACTTTACTCTCAGAAATTTTCAAATATATATTAACTATAGTTGTCATTATATACAGTAGATCTCTTGAACTTATTCCTCTTGTCTAAGTGAAATTTTGAGTCTTTTGACCTATATCTCCCCAATCCTCTCACCCCACCAGGCTCTTTTCTCTGTTTCAGAGACTGCAACTTTTTAGATTCTACATATAAATTAGATCATCTGGTATTTGTTTTCTATACCTGGCTTATTTCACCTAACATAATGGCCTCCAGGTTCAACTATGTTGTCAGAAATGACAGAATTTTCTTCTTTTTAAAAGTTGAATAGTATTTCATTGTGTATATTAACATTTTTATTACCTGTATATCTGTTGATGACAGTTTCATTCTGTATCAATTCTGTTGTGGATAATGTTGCAATGATCATGGGAGTGCAGATATCTTTTTTAATATTAATTTTTTAACTTTGTGAGTACATAATAGGTGTATGTATTTATGGAGTACAGGAGATATATTGATAAGGGCACAAAATACCTAATAATTCCAACATAGAAAATGGGAAATCCATCCCTTCAGGCATTTATATTTTGTGTTACACAGAATCCAATTATACTCTTCTTTTTTTCTTTTGAGACAGAGTCTTGCTTTGTTGCCCAGGCTGGAGTGCAGTGGTGCAATCCTGGCTCACTGCAACCTCCACCTCCCAGATTCAAGCGATTTTCCTGCCTCAGCCTTCCAAGTAGGTGGGACTATAGGCATGCACCACCACGCTCGGCTAATTTTTGTATTTTTAGTAGAGATGGGGTTTCACCATATTGGCCAGGCTGGTCTCGAACTCCTGACCTCATGAACCATCTGCCTTGGCCTTCCAAAGTGCTGGGATTACAGGTGTAAGCCACCATGCCTGGCCCCAATTATACTCTTTTAGTTATTTTTAAATGTACAATTGAATTATTTTGACTATAGTTGCCTTGTTGTGCTATCGAATACTAGGTTCTATTTATTATTTCCATTCTTTGTACCCATTAACCATCGCCACATCCCCTTCACCCCCGCTACCCATCCTAGCCTCTGGTAATCATCCTACTAGTCTCTATCTCCATATGTTAAATTGTTTTGATTTTTATATCCCACAAATAAGTGACAACATGCAATGTTTGTGTTTCTGTGCCTGGCTTATTTCACTTGACATAACGACCTCCAGTTCCATCCATGTTGTTACAAATGACAGGATCTCATTTCTTTCTGGCTGAATAGTACTCCATCATGTACAAATACATTTTCTGTATCCATTAATCTGCTGATGAACATGTAGGTTGCTCCCAGATCTTGGCTATTGTGAACAGTACTTCAACAAACATAACAGTGCAAATATCTCTTTGATATACTGATTTCCCTTCTTTTGGGTATATACCAAGGAGTGGGATAGTGGATCATATAGTAGCTCTATTTTTAGTTTTTTGAGGAA